TCCAGTTTCTGTGATATACTGCATTTATCCACATGGTCTTTTGCGGGGGGAGCATAATTTTGGGATGCATTGAAGAGGAATTCTTCCTCTGCATGTGCCTTCTGCCCCTTCAGGCCTTTTTTTATACAGGTAGGTATTGTAAGCTTAATTGCAGTTACCACATCTGCACATAGACCCCTTGCAGCAGTCTGACAAAATCACAGCCACTGCGTGCTTCCATCAGCATGTCAATCTGACACGGACTGTTGACCTTTTATGCCCATGGAAGACTTGACAAGAGACCATGCACACGGAGTCGAGGCTAACATAAGAATTAAACTTTTCAGCCTCTGAATTTTACATGGTGGCTATCTTATGCATGAAAAGTTGAATATAGAGGTATGCAGAATACAGCTTTGGTAGCTTAACACTTTTCTTTTTAGAAAATTTTTATTTTGCATATACAATAATGATGTGAGCAGCTAGTGTAATTACAGTAACTGCAAACCTATAATGATAGTTCTAGAAATAGTTTTAGTGACTTAAAAATAAAACCTGTTATAGGTGTTTGTCATTCATCAAAGTATTTGTCACTGTGCTTTGTTAAAGCAGTGGAAAATTCTGAAGAACATATAATACTTCATAATGCAGTAGACTAAAGAAAGGTAAGGATTAATTTAGAAGGATTTCTGTTGTCATAATAATACACTCAAAATAACAGCCTGTCACTTAGTATTTCCCTTAAAAGCCTAATTCTTACATATCAAAGACTACAATTTATTAAATTAATATTTCTGCAATTAAGTTCTTCTAGGGAATACTATCACTAGCTTATAATAACTATTTTGGTATACATTGTGAAACAGCAACAATTAAGGCTTTTCTTAACTACCTTTGACAGATTATCAGAAAAGACACATGGTCTGCAATTAAGAAAGGAAATCCTTTCAGTAGGTTTACAAACAGCTTCTTCAAGACACTGCTGTCACTGCTAATATTCTCCCATAAGCAATATCACAATTTATATTTTAAGTACATTAAGAACAAGAAATATTTTTGTGAGGGTTTTTTTTATCAATGTTTTCAACTGCTAGTGTACTACTATGTTTTCTGTATATAATTTCATTTTCTTAAACTATTGGTTCAACTCTTACAATCTCATTTCACAGGAAAGTGAAATTTCTTGTGGGTTTTTTTGGAAGGCGGAGACAGGAAGGAGTGGCTTTACAAATATATATGTAGTGAGGAAGAAGTTTTTGTGCTTAAAAAACCCAAACATCTACAGTAGAGTTTAGAACTACCCTGACTACTTTGGGGTTGCATAACTACCTCATTTTAGCAGTGATATTGACATATATTAAAATTGTACTGTAGATTTCAGATTTAAAAAAAAACAAAAAACAAAAAAGCTCTTTAAAGCATTGCTTTTTTCTATAAAGGGATTTTTTTTGTACAGGTATGTGGAAGTGAAATATTTGGAATAAAATGCTGTGCACAATACTTGCATTATGCTAAAAGTTCAATCTGCTTCAAAAAATGTACTGTACTTACTATGGTAGCTGAAATTTCCTTGGAGATAATGTGACAAATCTGTTGTGCTATGAAAGACCTGCCTGCAAAAGCCTGCTTTCTATGATCACTGGCTCAGACAGTCCCAGGCTGTCTCTTTAGATCTACAAAACTAGTCTATTTTTTATACATGCTTCTGTTCTAGTATTTTTGGCCAGAATGGCTTGATGTGGGAGAGGAAGAGTATGATACTCTACTTTGGACTGATACATTGTTTTCAGGCAGTTGGGGTTTGTGTGCACGAAAGACTTGCAAAAATTTTTTTACTTGGGCTGAGTGTATCTGTAGTTCTTCTGATCTATTCCCAACAATTGATTGAATTTTCCACACTTATGTACATATCTATTTGTGGGTAGGGAGGGAGGGGGAAGAATGCTTGAGTTGTAGAAATGGCCAGAGCATTATATGGCAACTTCTAATCCTGTGGTGGCAGAAAGATAGGTTTCTGAAAGAAAAATATACGTTTTTCAGAAAAAAAAATATACACTGTCATTGGCCAAGTGTTAAATAAGCAAGTATTGCCTGACCACCAAGAAGTCCCTGACCTTTTGTTTCCATTCTCCAAAACAAGTTTGAATCCCTTTAATCCTCAGTCCAATTTTCAACAGAGCAAGTGAGGCCACTGAAGGCATGTAGGCTTTATGTTGACATGCTAATAGGTTGTCACTGGTCCTTCAGATGGTCATAGTTTCACTGAATTTTGGTCTTTAAGAGGGCTGTAACATTTCCAATGTTGTTTAAAATCTGCGTAGTTTAAGGTGAAGCCTTAATCACTGAAGAGAGAATCTCAGTACATGAACTTTAATGTTGGAAATGCCATGCTGTAAATTGCTAAAATAAATGCAGTTATCTGAAATGAATGACTTTAGAAAAAAATATAGTTGAATTTCTGGAAGTTGGAAGACCTACCTTTTCTATTAAGAAAATAAAGAAACAGCAAGTAAAATTATATTTCAAATGGAGTAACATTTACCACATTCAAGGTGAAATGGTGATTCTTTCATTATAGCAGCATCATCGTGACAAATTCCTTTTGGATTTAACTAGTCATCAGTTGTTCTGTGAAACATAAAATCTCTAAGAATATAAGGTTATATAAAAATCAGACAAAACCTTTCTGATTGTAGAAGACTGGTAAAAGTACACTTTGAAAGATAAGGTTAAAAACCTTGGTTTATATGTGCCTAAACTTAAAAATTTTGAAGTCTCTTCAACCTCTTGCCTTTGAGAGTTTGTAAACATTTTGTAAAATTACTTGTTCAACTCTTAATGTACTCTTGGTGTGGAATCATTCGTTGCTTGCTAACTCTTAATAAAATCAATCCTATTTGCACAAAGGAGACAGTAAATTGACTATAACTGCATGTTCAAGAAGAATATCAAGACCTGAGGACTTGAATGCTTGTGTTGCCCTTCTGCTATAGCAATCAAAGTTGCAGCCACAACTTATATTTTTGCCAACCTTTAAATGACATGAAATAGATGGTTTTTATAATGAAAATGTTGGACAACTGTAATTGACAATATTAACTCTCAGATCAAGACAGATAGGCACATGAACCTGCTCCTGAATATTATTTTTGGCTGCTAGGCCATGTTCTTAGATCCAACTGATCTGGCTGCCAGCTGCTTCTGGCACGTGGAGTCTTGGCACAAAAAGCAGCTGTGGTGTTAGAGTGTTGTGGGTTTGTTTTCGTGCTTCATCTCTTTCCACTTGCCCATGACCTGCTAGTAGTAGGAGAGCTCTGTTACTGGGCTGTAAGGTTTTGGGGCTTGCCTAGGAAGTGTGTGTGCAGATGTATGTGATTTAGCTTCCAATAAAGTATTTTTTCAGGATGTTGTGGAAACTCAAGTCTTTAACCTGTGGTGTTTGCAGATTACTGTGCTTAATAAAAATATTACAACCTCTATAAATTCAATGAGTTGGAAGAGCATTTTAAATCTTGTATATAGTCCTTTTTTCTGTGAAACATCAATTTAAAAAGTTGGTGCAGCCATTTGGCTTAAACATTCAAGTACAAGCAATCAAGGAAGTTAGAAAATGGATAAATTAAAGATTTACTTGAGCAAACTGCATTCCCTAACTGGAAAGAAATTAGTGACATAAAGTGGTACACTTCTGATCCAGGTAGTGTTGCTACGGAAGCCTTAACTTCTGAAACCTGTAATACAAATTAACATGTTTTCAGTCATTAGCAAAATTTGTCATTGCTGCTGTTAGCCTTTGCTTTTGTGCTGAAGTTAAGTGTGTATATACAGCACCTAATGTAAAGGATCTGAAGCTGTTATTTGCATAAATAGTTAACAGGCTTGTGAAGTGATGCATGGATTTGGGAAGAAGGGAGCCTAACTGGGAGAAAACAAGAACAAAAAAAAAAAATCTGTAAAGCTAAGGATTAGAGCTGACAGAACAAATTTCCATTGAATAATTATTGTACCTTATAACTGAAACATTTCTGGAAGTCCAAGTAGTTTGGGAATTTCTTTCAATATTGGACCCTGTCAGATTAAAATGCTTTGTGGAGTTTACAGTTTCCAGAAAGTTTCTAGACTTTAATTTCAAGTTAGTATTTCTGTCATATAGAAAAATCAGATCCTTAAGAAGCTTCAGTTCCTACAGATGTTATTTCTCTATCAGTTTTGAAGAAATAGTAAACAATAAGCAGGACCCAAGAGGACAGATAATAACTAAGTTTTCAAATACTAGTATTTGTGCTGCAGCTATGGTCAAAGAAGAGTTCTCAGTTAGCTTTTGGGTTTTGTTCAGCTACTTCTAGCAGAAGAGAAAACCTGTAAGGCAGAAAATTAAAATGTGGTTTAAGTAAAATAATAGCCCCAAATTTAAAATACTTTTAAAATGACATATAATTGTTTAGGATTTGGTTTAGGTTTGCTCATTAGGGGAAATGTAAGTGTAAACTTACATTTCTTATGCTTTATTTTCTGCCTTTGTCTCCTCACTTGAAACCAGCTTAATGTGCCTAAGGCTACTTCTAAAAATCCTTTATTCTTTAGAACTTGAAATTAGATAGATTTCAAAGGGACATTTATTGATTATAACATGAGTATTGTATTTTAAGTTTAAAATGACAGCAATCTTGAGCAAATACATTCAATATGACAATTTTCAAAGGTGGCTGTGTGATATTTATCTGAATGACTTAATAGTTTTCAAATACTTAAGTTTGTATTTCTTGTTTATTGAAGTTTTAACAATGTGCATCTCTGACTTGTCATGCACTGGCTTTCTTACATTTCTGTTCCTGTAACTTGTCTTATTTATTCATCTTTGCCTACTGCCTTTTCTTTAATTTCTCTTTTTGGTGGCTTTCTCTTTCAGGATAACATTTTGTCATCTGCCTTTCCAAAGTAAATGGCTATATGTGGGCACCGAAAGAGGAAACATTCACATTGTCAATGTGGAATCATTTACTCTCTCAGGCTATGTCATCATGTGGAATAAAGCCATTGAACTGTAAGTTTAATCAAGTGTTGTTTGTTGGCCAGGGTAGGGGGAACAGAAGTCTCTCAGATGCATTAACATCACTTGCAGAAATGTCATTGTTACCTATAGTGGCCTCCATATTAGTCTCACTACACCAATTACATTATTAAAGTACATAAATAGTCATGTAAATACTTTTTATTCTCATAAATGTGAAGTCTTAATATCAACATAGATGTTTCTGCCTATAACACTTACAGTGCCTGGAATAGACATAAAAATAGAGGAAATAGACAATATAAAAATAGACATAATCATTATCTTAAAATATGATATGGCTGGTACTTGGGCAGGTATGTCACTTCTATGGTTTTGAGGTTAAAACCTAAAGTATAAAGATATTCATTGTAAGAGGGCTGATGCATGCTGAGTATAAAATTACTGGCTGAAAATGTAAATTTAAATAAGCCTATTCCAAGAGCGAAGTGTATTTTTTACAGATATTGTCATTGCTGCTCCTTTTTTGATATTAAATTCGTGTATGCAAGTGTAGTGTTTTGTGGGTGAAAATGTATACTTGTGTGCTGCTGTTCCTGTGCTGTTAATTTGTTTCCAGAATGGTATGTCTATCTTCAAAACGTATGTGAAGTCCATCACTTGCCAAAGGTTGTTGAAACAAATACAGCTCTTCATTAGTCCATCTTCTTCAATAGCAAGAAGTCAACAGAAAGTCTTGTTTTAACAATGCTCAGCTTGGGCAATTTATGAATAATGGGAAGACCTGTTTTCCAGCATAAAAATAAGCATTTTATCCAACTGTGTCAATTCTGTAAGAACAAACATTAAGATAGATATTGTAAAGCTAATAGCAACTTTTTCTGTGTTGCAAATAAGCAGTAAATAAGTCTTTCCTTCTTATAAAAAGACAGAAACTGAATGCCTAAAAATAGACGGAAAGTATTTATGGGCTTGAAGATAAAAGGGAAAGTGACTCCATGCAGAAATGCCAATAGTTTGCTTACATGTAGTCTCTATCTGCAGAATCCATATTACATGCAGTCATTTTGAGATGCAGTTTTGGGCAGGGGAATTATTTTTTTTTTAATTAAATGGAAATATTTCTTGTTTAGGTCATCCAAATCTCACCCAGGACCTATTGTCCACATTAGTGACAATCCAATGGATGAAGGAAAGGTAGGATATGTTTAAAGACTATTCAATACATTAGTTTTGAAGCAAGACTTTTTATTAAAGCATAGTTACCACTGTTTTTTAAGGAATGATTAAATAGATGAGGACAACATTAAAAGCATAAAGGAAAGCTAAATCATGGTTTTAGGCTCTAAAAATAATATCAAGCAAGGTACAGACATATGACTGTAGGACACATTACTGGAATAATTGAGTGCATTTTGTAATCAGAATCATTTGAAAACACAGCTTAAAGTGCTTAATTGCAAAAATTCTTGAAAACAAAAGCAAAGAACTTATGGTGGTAAAAATTAAGATGTTGCCAAAAAACCCAATCATAACCTGAGTGCAGAAGTAGTGGGATGGAAATTAAATAAACATTATAATGCTCTTGGGTGTTGCTGTTTCACAACTTTAAAATGCTTATTTATATAGAGTACTGTGTACTTCATCTTTAGTTTAGCTAATCCAAGGCAGCAGTTTTTATGGGATTTGAGGTCTAACTGATACACTCTTTTAGCAGACAGCATCTAGTGATTATAATAAATTGCTTAAAACCTAACTGGTAGTACAATTAGATATTTCAGAAAAGTAGACTTAACTAAAACTTGTAAGAAAGAGCTATGTATTAGACTTGTCTTTTCCTCCTTTTGAGATCGTGTTGACATAATCATCTTCTCATCTTGACAAAAAGTTTTACAGTACATGTTCTTGAAGCCCTCACAAGATGACAATTTTTATGTCCTTTGACATAGCAGCCACAAAGAAGAACTTGAGCTATGAACTCAATGGTCATAAGTTCCTTCTGTATTATTAAAGTAAATCTGCTTTGGGACATCTGTTATGAGCCTCATGCAAAAACAATGTAGAACACAAACTTTAGTTCACAGTGAGGACTTTGTGAGTCAAAAAGAGAAAGCAAGGAGTTAAAATGCTAGTATGCCTTCTCTGGGTCACAGCAATTACTGTAGTACCAAATCATACATTCCCTACTTAAGTCATGGTTGCAAGACTAAGTTTGTGATTCAGTTGACAGACCTCTTCTACAAGTCTTGGGACGGGATCACATGATTGACCCGCTCTGTGTGCCCCATATAGTTATCTTCATGGTCTGCTTCAACTCTTGTTCAGATTCCCTTAGTCTGCACCGAAGAGTATGCAGAAGAGGTTTTCCTTAGTTTTGAAAATAGGGATAAAGCCAAATAAGAAAGAAGAATTTGAAACGGCAGTCTTAATGTATCTTTTCCAAAAGTCTGTAGACCCCTGACAAAAATATGTTTAGCCATAGAGACCTTGATGCCACTTCAAACAATTTTTCATTAATGACTGTTTTTCATCTATGACTATGCTTTAGGTTAATCAGGCATAAGTGATTGACTAGACTCAAATGAAATTATGAATTATTTTTGTCAGTGTAATAGCTCAGAAATATCCTAGAGTTCTGAAATCCCATTTGTGAAGAGTTTTCAAGGAGAGAAAATAATTTTGCTTACTAGTGTTCCACATACTCAGGAGAAATAATGTTTTTTTGGTTTACTTGCTTTTAATTTTACATGTTAGTGTTGGATAAAACTGAAGAGAGGGAATGATACTATTGTCTCAGCAGTGGTTTGAATGTTTTAATAGCTAGCTAGTTATAGGCTTATATCCTAGACACCTGACATTTCAGTCCAACAAGGAGAATTTCATGAGCAGACGTGTTGTTTTTTTTCACTGGGCTGAAGCTCACTGCAGTAAGTATGTAACTAATGGGTTTCTCTGTAGAATTAGGTTTGAATCACATTTCAGAATTGTGGACCCTAGAATATGAATGCAATGAAGCTATGGTAACCTCAGAAAAGACAAATGATCTAGTTATTCTGGTGTATTCCACCCCCACCCCACATTTAATTATTGCCAATTAAAGTTTAAGAATTGCTATTATTATCAATGAGTCTGTCTATCAGTGTTTTAGAATCTGACCTTACACTCCTTTCTCAAAAGAAAAATGTTGCTGGAAAAAACCTGTGTAATCACTTTTAAAATTTGTTCAGGCTATTAGCCTTCTAATCACTGATTTTTTTATATTTTTTTTTTCCTAATGAATCATAGTATTGTCTAGGTTGGAAGGGACCTTTAAAATTATCAAGTCCAACCATCAACCTAACACTGCCAAAGCCACCACTAAACCGTGTCCCTAATGTTTAAAGTTAAAATAGGAAAAATTATAAAGTATGACTTACAATAAACAAGATCATTTAAAATAGTAGTATACATGACACTCATGAGAAAAAAACCAAAACACTAATATTCACTGTCACTAGATCAGATGTGCCTAATATTTTTAGGGTATTTTAGTGCTGTATAGTACTGAAATAAATTAAATATTTTACCTGTAAGCTGGTATGAGATCCATTTCCTACTGGAAATAACTGTACAGCTCTTAACATACTGAAAAGATTGTCCAGGCAAAACCTCTAGGTATTGATTTAGAGCTCTGTCCTTGACTACAACGGCATGTGTGTGAAGGCAGTGTTTTGTAACTTGTAATACGAAGGACACTCTTAAAGGCACTTCTGCTTGCTCACAGGAAATAGGCTGTTTCATCAGCGAGTAAATCCCGGCAAAAAATACGTTTGTTTGTTTGTAAGTCTGTGCTGGGAAAAAGAAGTGGGAGTGAAGGTGTGCTACTTAATGCTAGGAGCTGCTTCTCCTGTACCAACATTGCTCAAAGGAAAGATCTCACAGTAGATCCAGCAACTATGGAAGATGAAGCTGCATTGCCGCCTCCTATATAACAAGTGGCAGGACTGGTACTACTGCCTTATGTTGGCCTTATTTGGTTTTCACTAAGTGAAGTGGGACTTAAGATAGGAGAGCAAAACAGTTAGATACTCAACAATGTGTTAGACCAATTATTATGGGCAACTTGAATCTTTGCTCCCTGCAGAAATGGTTTAATCTTGTTTTTTGCAAAAATTATTTGGAAAACTATCTTGTTTAATTTCTCTCTAGCTTTCCTCTCCTTAACAACTAATATTCTGGTGTTCCTTTAGCCAGTTACCTCAATTGTGGTTAACATCTGGAGAAATCTTATATTACATAGTTTCTTTATAGATAATGAGCTGTTACGTAGAACTTCAGGAAGGTATAGTGTGTTCTTCCAGCAAATCTAAGCAGAACAAATTCTAGTGAAGAAAATGCACAGTAAAAACTTCTCTTTCCAACCCCCTCCCATTTTCACTCAGGAGGGAAGACACTTAAAGTTTAATGTTGACGTTTCTGGAATTCAAAGGGATTTCCAAGGACTCTTCAGAAGAATGTGTTATTTTTTTTCTAGTTTTGCATGAATGCCAGTTGTAGTAGCTGGAAGTTTAGGAGAAGGACAAGAAGTACAAACTAAACCTCTCTAACATTGAAGTCTTCACTGCTTTTTGTATTCATAAGTACTTGTAGTTACTACATGTAGTATTATACTGCATTTCTTTGGGGCAAGAACTACAGGCATTGCAAATGGTATTTTTCATATCCTTATAAAGACTTAATATATCTGCTTATTATTGCAGCTTCTGATTGGCTTTGAGTCTGGAACAGTGGTATTATGGGATCTGAAGTCAAAGAAGGCGGATTACCGATACACACATGATGAGGTAAGACTTTTCATCTGCATTACTTCCTACAAGGATATTATTTGCTATTCTAATAGTGGCTCTTATTATTTTCTTTCATTTCTTCGCCTGCTTCTGACACCAGTGGATCAATAAATAGGTCTCTTTGAAATTGCAAGTACTAGAACTTTTCTCTAAAAGAGCCATAGAGTTTGAATAATAGAAACTTCAGATAAGTGTTCATCGAGTTGAAGTTCATGAAACAATGAATCGTGGCATGGATTGGATTTCTTTTGCTGGTTTTGGGGGCTAGGGTGTGAAGCTTTCAGATATTTTTTTCTGTTATTGAGTAATGTGACTTTCAACTCTGTTAAGAGCTTGAGTTTTAAGTAGAAACAAGATGGTATAGCAATTTCTGTAATTTGGATTCTGACATTCTGAAAAGTGGTGGGAGGGGAAGAAACCACTAAATAGTCTCATTAGGACATTTCTATAAACACCTTTTCTTTGTAGGATAATATCAAGGTTTGAAATAAAACTGGGGGAGGTTTAAAATAAAAAAAAAAAGTCATTGAATGGCATTATTTCTTTAAAACTTGACTCTTGAGAGAATGTAGGCTTCCTGAAAGACCAATATTAAGAAAAATTATTCAACATAATATGCAACTTGATGTATTTTATTTAAAATGACATAAAATTAGTCTCAATTGCACTTAATTGATTGTAAAATGTCTGTATCGTTGTTCAGTACCACCTAGGCATGTTTCTTGTGTCACAGAAGGTGTGTTTTCTTTAGTTCTGTGCTGAACTTCTCACAAGACAGGATTTGGGTTTTTTTGTGGTGATTCTGGCTCGGTATTCATGCTTGTGTGTCTGTTAGCTCTACCAATGAAGAGTTTCTTTGAAAGGGGAGTCTCTGAAGTAGTCTAAGCCTTAGATCATCAGAGCTGTATTAGAACATCAGACCTGAATCGGGTTTCTTTGTGTGTTCTGAAATGTCTTTATAAGCCTCAAAGTATGTTGTGTGAAGAGCAATTTTCCACCTTCCAGTTTCATTGCATGCCCCTAATTAATTCTCTGTTGCTTTGTTTCATAAACTTACTCTTATCTCCATCATCTTTTTCTAGTCTTAATCAAATTCTTCCTATATCTCTTATTTGTCTTGCTCTTTTCTTTCTTTTTTAATCATTCTATTCTATCTTTGTTTTATAAAAGAGAAGCACAACAACATAGTATATTCAAGATGTGGGCGTGCTGGATTTATGATGTGGAATAATTATGTTTGGTTTTGTTTTCTTTCTCTCTTGATCTTGATGCTGGATTAGCCTTTTAATGCTGCAAGCATTTAGCAGATACTTCCTTGGAACCACTTACTGAAAACTAGAGTCTCATTCTTCAGTGTTAATTGTCGGCTCAAAGTCCATTGCATTTATGCATAGGTTCACATTTACATATTTGGACAATAAAAATTAATTCTTTCTGCAGTTCTTCACTGGAATCTTCATTTCTACCTTGAATATGCTTTGGTACTGTCAGCAGACTTATCACCTTAATATGCTTGTTCTAATTTTCCGAGTTATCTATGAATAAACTGAGCAGCACAGATCCCTGAGGGGCTCTGCCAATTACCTTCATCCATGAACTAATCAATTACTGCCAGCCTGTTTTTATTCTAGCTTGCTTTACTTCCTGATACCTTACCCAATTATTCATCGGTTCAAGCATCTCTAGTCTGTTTGGTTTTAGTTTCCTTTGAGAGATGTTGTTAAAAGGCTGAAAACTGTGTAGACAGCTTAATTGATGTTTCTGTTAGCCACATGCTTGTTAACATTTTCAGAGGTTTGTTGGATATGATTTCCTTTTACAAAAAGCTTGTTGACTTCTCTTACCTGGTATGTTATACTCATCCATATGTTGATTATCTCTGTTTAATAAAGCTTTGTTGCTGTTTCTAGAATCTTACCCCAGCTAGACACAATGTTGCTGTTTGTTTGGGGTTGTTTTTGATTTTTCTGGTCCCTTAGTTTAAAAACTAGCTCTATACTTATTTTCCTGAACCAACCCTGATTTGAGAGATTGCAAACAGCAGTGAATAGTTCAGCCATTTCATCTTTGATTTCCTGTAGGATTTATAAGTGAATACATCTTGTTGTTCAGGTTGTCTTTTTTTATTTCAGAAGACGCAATGGAATACCTTAGGTAAAGTCCTTTGGTAAAGAAATGTGCACTATCACAAGTTGGGAATAGATAGGAAGGAGAGAGAAAAAAATGAAGATCTATAGAGTGAACTTGAATTTCACTGTTCTCTTTAGTGAGAATCAACATACAGTAAAGTTGCTTAAAAAAAAAAAATTGGCCATTCAAGTCTTCAAAGTTGAAGAAGGCTTTTTTTGTGAGTTCAGATTGCCCTTTAAGAAAAATTTCTCTTTGGAAAAGGAATTGCTGTGTGCAGTAATAATTTGTTGGTTCACATCCATTTAACATTGTATGACAAGGAATTTCTTCTTCAATGGGCAAGTTACTTAGATCTAATCTTCTAAGGGGAAAGGCAGTATAGAATAATGTCCCTCTTTATTTGAATGTGACACAGTTAAGCAGTTTCAAGTTCTTCTGGATTCTGGCCTGAGTGGCATAGAAATAAAATAATTAATCTTGTCTAACAGAATTGAAAAATAAGTGTTTCTTGAAAGGTGCCATTGTAGAGTGCTGTAATTGTTTTTGGACCAATGGCCTTGAGAAAAGGTCTTATCAGATGCAGAAAAGATAATGAATAAAAGCTGCAGAAAGTGAATGATTATATGTATGTTATATGTGTCCTTGTTTTAGTGTGAGTCAGGTGAGGTGGGGTTTCTCCTGTATCTTCCTTTCATTCTATTCTTCAGTGCCTCTGTTTTGTATTTAGCTGCAAAAATGTAGAATCTCCCTCAGTTTTTCAGTGAAAGGAATATTCAACTCTATAATGCTATCTTTCTAATCATATTATGATCAGTGCTGACTAACTTGTGACCTATATAAATATACTGTTCTTGCTGTTTTTCAGCTAGCACAGTTTCAAGTAAGTGAATGTAAATGTTAAGTAACGCAGAAGAAACAGTTCTTATATCGCATTTTGCAAGAATAAAATAGTATTGCCAGATAATAAAAACTTTGCTAGTTTTTATGAGCAGCTTCCTTAACAGGAGAAAACCATTCTCGCTTGCTTAATGCTGAAAGAGGTTACTGTGGAAAGGTGGGTAACTTTTTCAGTTTTAGACAAGTAACACCGTAACTGATACAGTGAAAAACACTGACTGGCATGGTTGGAATTCTGATAATATGGTAAACTTCATTCTGGTTGAATGACTTAGCAATTCAAATACTTCACCAAAACTGAAATGTCTATGTATGTATAGTAAGCAAAGAATTATCTTCAGTGGCAGGCTAGTACAGTTGTGCAGGTTGTAAAGTAGAATGGAAAACCAGAAGCCAGGGAAATTGACTAAATGGAGCAGTACACAGGGAGGGTACAGCTAACCAAGGTCTTGGGTAAGAGGAGAGTAACTCACAGACGGTTCTGGGCAGAAATAATTTATTATATGTCCAGTCTAAACTCAACTGCATCTTTTTTCTTTTTTTTTTTTCCCACATTTGACACCGATATTAGTTTTGTTCTCTTAACGTGTAATACTGACTTCACAGTTGAAAAACTTTGGTCAAGAACATGCAACACAACCTGATTTTTAAGATATGTAATAGAAATAACCAAAGTGTTTTTGCAAGGATGTTATAGCCAAGATGTAACACAATTAAAAACTTTTAGAGTTAAGCTTGCTCCTGAGTGGTTTTCTGCGATACCTTTTCTCATTGACTGGAGCACTAGGTCATCTGCTCCCTTTATAATAAAGGAGCCTAAAAAATTGGTGGCCAAACTCATTCCTTATTTAGCTCTTCCCTCCCCTCTATCCCCAATAACAAATAATTAGCGTGACCTATCATAATTATTACAGTATTGTGATGTTTTGCCAAGACCTTTATTGACTAGTTTAGTCTAATCTAAGATTATTTTGCTGCCCAAAAAGGCAGTATCAACCTGACCACCCCAGCAATATCTTTCCATAATTAGTTGTGGCTGCATGACAGTACAGCAAGTCACAGTATAACTCTCTTCCCCTCTTCCTGTACACCCAAGAAAAGTTTCAGTCGCGAAGACCCATTGCGCATGAAAACTTCAGGTTTGAGGAAAATCTGTAGACTTTCTGGCAATGTAGTGGTTTCCTTGCTCAAGAGAGTACGCATGCTGAGTCTAGCAGTGGCGGAATAATACCTTATCTCATGAGATCTCCTCTGCTTCTGGTAAGTGTGGCACAGAGCAGAGAAAGCTCTCTGCGATTTCATTTTCTGCTAGCAAACCCTGTAGACTTGAATACTTCTGTGCAGAGGATCTTTCTAGCTCTTGTTTCTTGTTGTTTTCCTGCTCCAGTGGCTTTGCCAGAGACTTCTTTCATACGGTGACCATAAGGGCTGTATTCCATCCATGAACATGTTTCACCTCTTCTCACACAGAGGGTTATGCACGTGATGTTCTACCCTGTATCAGCAGCAGGATTTTAAACCTCAGGATTTATATCCTTGGTGTTCTCTACTTACTTCTCTACTACATTTCTTGATGAGAGCTCTTCTGAGTGTGGAGTTGACAACCAGTAAGAAGAGAGCAACTCAGCTCATACGAGATATGTGACATATGAGATCTGGTGCAGAGCTGTTTATCAGATGCAGGAAATGCTGTCGTCTCCCTTCTTCCTCCCTGACTGTGCCACCTCAGACTGCTCCAGTGGAAAGTCACAGAGGGATCTTGTTTGGTGAATCAGGCCTGCTTATTAGCACTGGGGAAAGATTCTCTGGCTCTAACCTTATTGAAAACAAACAACTCTTCTGGTACTGGTTAACTATGTAGTCTCATCAGTCTCATAAAATGCATCACCAGTCATTGCAAAAGTGATGACTAATCCTGTGTCTGTTAGAAATGGCAGTGCTCTGCCTGGGGTGTGAGCTAAAGGTCCGAA